TTACATGCCAGCACTTCTTCTATTGCTATCAGGACAAGGTCTGTCCTTGAGCTTTAAGGAGACACATAAACCACAAGAAAAGTCAAGAACAGTCACTCAAAGCACACAGTAGATCTATGAAACTCATGGCCACAAGAGAGGCCCCAGGGCAGACAATATAGAAATATTGCTCTTTAACAAACTACCCAGAGTCTAAGGTTCAAGTCCAGAAAGATAGTAACATTCTTTTTCAAGTGACCTCCATGGCGCAAGACCACATGGGCCACATTTTGCCTCTAAGTCAGTCTTCGGGCATTTCATTGGGATGCCCAGTCCTTCATTTGAGCAAAGCTGATAGTTGTTATTTTTCAATACTTTTATTATGAAGAATTTTCTTGTAAATAATCCTCCATCCTCAAAAAAGTGTATGTTAGCATACAGTGCCATTATTGTAACATGAACAGATTTGCAGACCACATTTCTATAGTAGGATGACAATGCATCACCCAGACAAGAATTATCCTCAACCACTCCCTCTTTTTAGAGAGGAATCTAATTCCAATAAAGCATAGAACTCAGCACCAATGCTATGTGAATATGGATACCCTCAGATCCATCCTCTTTAAAAACAAACAAACAAACAAAACAAACAAACAAAAAACTCATATTCAGCATTAGGTACTTAATCACTTCTTCTCTAACCCAAATCACTGACTGTGAAAACAGGATTTTTTCCCCCTTTATATTTAGTTGGAAATTAGATGAGAGCCACAGAGAATTCAGTTGACATCACACACCCACAAACTCACAGCATCTGGGCCGCTTCAGCTCCCTGAGCTGGGTTTGTTGAGGCAATCTGGAAAGAAAGCCTCTCAGCTTTCACCAGGAACCTGGACACCTGAAAGCTCTGAGCAGAGCTTTGTGGGCCCAACACTAAAGGCCTGGGAGTTCTATGTGTCACACCCTCCAGAGAAGCAGGATCCTGAGTAAGACATGGAACCCTCTGGATGTTCATGTGCTCAGTCAACAAACATGTATCATAATCCCAACCAATCTCCAGATCCCACCATTAGAATTGAAACCTAATATCCACAGACTTGGGAAAACCAAAGTGCTCCACGGGAACTGCTGTGTGGAGGGATAAGGAATCCTCCCAGCACTGATAAGGCAGGCAACAGAATGCTGGGGGTGATGTGCTAGTAAGTGGTGAGGGGGCTGTGATGGGAAACCCTATGGGTACCTCTCTGACTTTTAGGAATTCTCAAATATATGAATGTAAATGAGAACAGACATCAGGATGCATAGGAGTTAGGCCAAATTTCAGAGGACACATCAACCAGGTGTCACTCATCAACCAAACCAGGTATTCATGAATCTCTTAGGTTGTTCATCGGAACAACAATATTCAAATAAAGAGCTTTTTGTTTTGGAGGTTGCTTGGGTTTTTGTTGGCAGGCTTTTTTTTTCCTTCTTCTATTCTGTATTTTCCCACATCCACTATCAGCATAAGGTGTGCTTGTTTGGCCACACCTAAATGTATAACATATTTACTCAGATGATAAACTGTAGGCATCAGTCTTGTTCAAGCAAGTCTTGTCCTGAGCAACAGATAAGCTGGAGGGCCAAGAAAGAGAGCAGCGTAGTTCCTCATTAATGATCCCTGCATGCCACCCCATCTCCCCCTCCTGCTGCAGACCGTGAAAGCCGGGATTACTGGAGGGGTGGGTGCCAGGCACCTCTTTCTTCAAGCACCCACAGAGGGGGCTACTCATCTGGGGAGGAGGGAGGTTTTGGTGATTAGCTTCGGTGATAGGTTTGTTCAGGGAACGAAAGATTTTCAAAGTTCTGAAGTATCTCTCAAAGTGCACAAGTAGGTACAAAACCACAGAACACAATGTACTAAACATGTAGGTAGTAGAACATTCCTCTTCTGCTGAAATCTCAGGAAGGGTTAGCTGAGAAATCAGAATCTATTTAATTTGAAATTCCATTTAAAAGAATATACAGTCCACTCTGCCTCCGTCCAAACAAAGGGACACAACGTCCTGTGTTTTCACTGCTCTGACACATACAAAGAGAGACCGAGATAAATGCAGGTAAAACATGTCAGTGAGGCAGCTCATAATAGCCTTCACAGCAGCGATGTTCAGCCTTTGTCATCTCAAGGCAAACATAAGCTAATTACTAAAATTCTGCGGCACACCGAAAATATATTTTTTGCTAAGCTAAAAAAAAAAATATAGGTATAATATTGATTCACTCACACTGATGGCTTTTGTTAGGTTGGCTGTTATCATTTTTCTACTTGCCAATCTAAGGGAAAATAGGTCAGTGCCCCTCAATAGTTAAGTATTGTATATTTTAAAAGTTCTTTTGGTACACAGGTTGAAAATCACTGCTTTATAGGTATTAGCATGTCCTTAGGTTATGAGTGCTAGATATCTAAAATCTATAGAAAAAAAAGTGAATGGTGTGGCCCTTCATTGAAACAGAAATGGAGAGTCTTTACACAGGTTTTCCAACTTGCATAAATTACCCAGGAAATAGTTTATGTTATGATATTATAGTCAGGTCATTCTCAACTTCATTATCCAGAAATTCTTCTCTTTCATCCTCATGTTTCACTGTCCCTCCCTGCCCTCCTCCCCAAACATACAAACCTAGCCCCCTTTAGAGGGAAGAATGTAAGAGCAAAGAGTAAGCAATTTGCCACAATGCCACACCAGGTCACAAGTAACTGGCCTTCCCTCTGCTCAGAATAAAGTACATCTTAAGCACCCGGCAAATATTTGCATGGTCTCCAGAGCAGTAAGATTCATCCATTTGCTCATAAAAGTACACACTGCAGCTGAGAAAATAAATCCATTCAAGTCCACTAACATCTATCAAGCTCCCTTCTGAGTGTGGGGTCTTTGGGGGAGGGGAGACCGTGCGCCCCACTAGAAGAGCTGATTTTTGAAGCTGTCTAGAGATATGCTGCTCCCTCCTCTCTCCCATCAAAAGCAAATCATAAGATGCAACCAGCTCCCTAACTGACCAGCAGAGCAGCATTTCATATTGTGAAATGTAACTAGCCCAAGGCATGCCAGATCCTTTTTATAGCTGAAAATGAATTCCCTTATCTTTCTGGGAAAATAGCAATTTTGTTTGTTGTGTAAAAAATACAGCACCTCCACATAATAGGATTTCCTCCTGGGAAACTTCTGAGTGGAACTAAAAGAACTTAGGCTGCTTGACCACCAAGTCAAGCTCTGTCACCTACTTGGTGACCTTGGAAAGTCATTTATAAACTCTGAGACCTCAAGTTCCTCTTATTTATGTATGTATGTATGTATGTATGTATTTATATCCTCACCCAAGAAGTGAGATTATTTTTTTCCATTGATTTCTAGCACATTGATTGGTTGCCTCCTGCCTGCACCCAGACCTGCACCCAGGTCAGGGATCGAACCTGCAATCTAGATAAGGTGCCCTTGACCAGGATTCAAACCCAAGACACTCCAGTGAGCAGGCTGATGCTCTAACCACGGAACAATGCCAGCCGGGGCAAGTTCTTCACCATTAAAACAGAGATAATCATACATCTTCTAATTCTGGTGTTCTTGTGAAGGTCAAATAACATAGTGAATATGAGGGTTTTATGAAAATTGTTATAATCACCAATGCCAATGTTTAACTACACAGTCCTGCAGACATGGAAGCAGAGAAACCAAAAAAAGCCCCCATCTGTTCCTAAAAGTGTGAGCTGGGTCTCTATACATTCAAATGAGCTACAGGGTGTTTAGCTACAGGGACAGGTATAGAACTATGTCCATGAAATCAGTTTTAGAAAGAAGGGAAAACACTCTTCTTTATCCTATTTTTTGCTATGTTGGATGTTAGGCTTTTATTTAAATTGTCGGTATTTAGCTGCTGTTGCTTATTAAATATTACATTTAGTACAGTCTCCTTGATTAATGTGCTTACACAGTTAAGACTAAGCAAAAAGTTACATATATTCCATTAAGAGTATTCCAAACTCAGCAAAACAAAGGAGCGGTGTACTCTTTTATTATTATTTTAAGTTGATTTTTAACCATTTAGTCTGTATTGCCTTGGTGAGATACAAGGTAATGCGTGTCCTGGGCTGCAAGGAGCACAGAGTTTAGAGTGGAAACAGCCCAACGAACATTACAACCCAGTGAGGCCAGTGCAACAAGAAGAGGTCAGCACATGCCCTAGGGCAGGAGGAGGGGCTGCTGCTGAGCCCAGTGCTAAGGGTCTGGAGTGGGCACCATGAATAAACCAGAACTGTGTGCTGTGTGCATGAATGCTGAGCAATGTGGTGCCACTGAAGCCAAGGCAGCAGGATGACAAAAGCGAGATGGGAAATGGGGGGTGGGGTTGGGGGCAGAGGTCTCCTCATGAGGACCTGGGGACTGGAGATATCCTGGGAATCTATGCTGGCAGGGGAGTGTCAGGGGAGTAGGATAGCTGCATGAGGGAGACCCCAACTATTCTTCATCTAAGAACATTCTGCTATTGTAGGGAATATTGGCACTTCCTATGGGAAAAACAATTCCTGCTACAAAAGAAAATAGTTAACATTTAAAGGCAAAGGAGAACCTCATTTTATAAAATTGTAATAAAAATACCCACAGTCCAAAACATTTGAATGAAGAATCCACTAACAACACTTTTAGAACTCATAAAAAATGCTTGTACATTTTTTGTTGACTCTACCTCTACCGGAGAAGAATTTTATTTAGGTATGAAATGGGCAGGAAAATGAAGAGCTTCAGCTACTTCCAGCTTCTTAGAACAGGATGCAGCCAGGCAGGTGCTGGCGGTCAGTCACCTGGAGGATGAATTGGGCTGTGGTGAGTCATGCCGAAGAATGCCAGCCCATGACCAACAGACAAATGGGTAGGACCATTCCAGACTTGCTGGGAGCCAATGTTGCAAGAGATGATCCAGAAAACCATAACCTCCACAATTAAGCTTGCTGGGAATTTTTTTTTTTTTTTTTTTTTTTTTTTTTAAAGCAAGACCAGGAACTCGTGGGAGGAGGGGGAGGAAGGAATGAGGAGTTATTGTTTAATGGCTACAGAGTTTCAGATTGGGAAAATGAATATATTCTGGAGGTGGACTATGGTGATGGCTGCACAACAAGGTGAATGCACTTAATGCCTCTGAACAGTATTTTATGGAATGTAATTTCCCCACAATGAGAGAGAAAGAGAGAGAGAGAGAGAGAGAGCGCAAGCTCACAAGGACTAAAAAGCAGTAAGATTTCTAGTACAGTCTGCCATGAGCCTCACACTGTCTCCTGAATTGGATGCACAGATCAAAACTGAACTTCTCAATAAATACTTTAGAGAAAAGTATCACCTAGAACAGTGGTCGGCAAGCCTCTAATTGCGAGCCACATGCAGCTCTTTGGCCCCTTGAGGGTGGCTCTTCCACAAAATACCACGGCCTGGGCAAATCTATTTTGAAGAAGTGGCACTGGAAGAAGTTTACATTTAAAAAATTTGGTTCTCAAGAGAAATTTCAATTGTTGTACTGTTGCTATTTGGCTCTGTTGACTAATGGGTTTGCCAACCACTGACCTAGAACATGCTAGTGGCCCGCCGAGGTCCGTCCATCCCAACAGGCTATATGATAAAACCACGGGCATGTTTTCTAAAATAGAGCTCCTACCCCCTTAAAGAGACTGGGTTCCTCACATAATGTAGTTCATAACCCTTTCCTGCAGTCTACAAAGATGATACTGTTGTTATTATCATTAGTATGATGACAGCTATTTTGTATGTATTAAGAGTTCTCAGTGAGCCCGCTGCTGTCCTTTCCTTCCTTTGCTGTAGATGGGAACAAATTGGACACAGAAGTTCTACTGGTATGCAGTGCCTTGGAAAGTAAGCAAGAGGGAGGACACACACTCTGCAGAAGGGGTTGTACTCAGCCCTATTTCGAGGCCCTGGCGATACTTCTGGACCTTCACCACCAAGCAAGGCTCCTACTTGGTGGAGTATGCATTTTCTTGCCAAACAGCAGATATTTATTTTGGCACATGCAAGACATCCAGCGGATTTCATAAAGGTTAAGCCACAGAGATAAGAAATTTCTCAGGGCCCTGTTTCATGGATTATGCATTTTAAAGAATCTTAACTCTTCCCTATTAAAAAAACAGTTAAAACTGTGGATAGCTCTGAAGTCTGCGCCTATAATCTTCACAGATTTCATTCTACAGGTTACAAATAGCCCCCACATAATGGCAATCTCACAGTAGCTACCGATTGTTCAATTACTTGAGACTGGCTTATAATCACCAGGTCGTTAAGGGTGTTATGAGAGCTAAAAACTCCAGTCACCGGGCTGTTGTGCGTCACGTTACTTGGCAATTCACTGGCTAGAAATGGAATGAAAGTATTTTGAACGGAAGCAATCTAAACACTTCAAATGAAAGTGCCAAGCCAATAATAGATGCTAATTATAATATAAATAAATGAGTAGATGAGGTAAACAAAGCCCCAGGACAGAGAGAAGAGGGGTAGAAATTGCTCCCTGAAAGCAAAGATACCAAAAGAGCTATTACACAACTTGAGAGGCAATACCTGAGCCCTCTCAAGTCTGGCTATACATTTGAAGCACCTGGGAAGTTCTGGAATCAAGTTTACCAGCCTTCCACCAGACCAACTAGAACCAAAGTTCTATAGAATGTGCAGATGGGTGCAGCTTTTCAAAGCTATCCACATGACTTCTATACCTAGAGGGCTGAGAACCACCAGTAGCAGCAAGAAGTCATACACAGTTCCCTGGGGCAAGTGTTGGTAGCAACTCTGGAGGTCTCACCACCAAGCAGAGAAAGTGGCCCCTCCATATGGCACATGGCACAAAGCTCATGAAGGTGTTCTCCTGGGGCTCACATGTCAACCACCGCATTCATGACGCCCAAAAGATCGTAGCATGAGGTGGCATGGTCTCCGGCCAAATTAGATATAAAGGACACCAAGAACGCAAAGGTGAAAGGTGAAGCACAAAGGTAAGTGTGTTCTGACTTCATCTTCTCTGAATGCTTCTTTCAGATCCTATAATTTTCTACAAAAACAAGACCCTGGAAAGAACTGGCAAACCAGGTTCCCACTGGCACATGTGTTAGGAAGGAGAAAGGGTGACTGAGTGCCTACTGTGAGCCAGGCACTGGCTGAGAGTTTCCACATACATTACACTTCAGTTTTCATAACCCTCCACTGTACTCTTACTAACAGAAAAAGGTCCAAACTCAGAGTAAATTGGCTCTCTTCACACAACTAGAATGAAGCAGAACCAGATGGGCAATCCAGCTCAGCCCTGCTCCAAACTCCTTTTTATTACACTCCTCTCCGCTTATGCAAATGCTCAATTACAATCCAAGATGTACAAATGCCAAGGCCTCGAAGCTTCTTCCAAATCCCCCTCCTACAATCCATTCAGGTCCCCACTCTGTCTGGGCAATATGAATTGCTCCATATTCTACACTCCCACCTCCTCTGTTTGCACATTAATTTTAAGAGTTTTGCTAGTTTGTCTTATCCTTAGAGAAACAGTTCTCAACTGGGGGCAATTTTGCCCCACAGAAGCCATTTGGCAATGTCTGGACTTTGAGGTGTTAACTGGCATCTCATAGGTAGAGGCCAGGGATGCTGATAAACATTCTACAATGCATAGGACAGCCCCCACCACAAAGAGCTGTCTGACACAAATGTCAAGTGTGCTAAGGTTGAGAAATTCTGCCTTGCAATAATAATATGGTTTTATGAATCCTTTCATTTCCTCCCCTAAAAAAATCTCAAGGAATAACTAAGACAATACATATGGAAACATTTAGCACACAGTAGGCACACAGAGTACTAATTAGATAATCTGACTGCACACTTCTGTAGAGTAGGAACCACTTCAATTGGCTCTGCATTATTCCCACACAAAGCATAGAGTCTTTTTCATTGGCTCTAAACAAATGTGAAATACTGAATTCTCTATATTGGAAAACTTTGATTAAAAAAACAAATGCCACTATTATCTAAGAAACACAACATTCTCCCATATTCATTCCTTAACAAATAAGTGAATGGTATAATTCATGATTCATTAGAACAGACTCTGAAAAGCTACATTGCATTCCAAGTATATCATAGAATCGCCTCCATTTCAGGACTATTAATAAGCTTACAATTAAAAAGCTTTGTCCTACATTAACAGAAAGTTAACTAAGAGATCACAATATTCAGATTTGAGAAAATCTAATACAGCAGTTTCAGATTCTTCTCTGCATACCAGGTCAGCTTTGACCATATCAATTCTCAGATTTTGAGTTCAATTTTTCAGGAACAGCCTTAAACTGTAATCACAGCACGACATATAAAACCATGAAAAGTCAAATCTCTGAATGAGTACGTCAGAACTGGTGGACATCACATCTCAGGTTAAGACTTTATGCTTTTATACTTTTCTCAGCTTAGGCCAGTTGGAATCAGCATGGATATCCTAAAGTAAATGATTACAAAACACATTAAAATGAGCATTCATTCAATCAGCCCTACAATGGGATAATCTACAATCATTTTTACAAAGTTTCTGGAGTTGTGGTCCCTGGGTCTTGAACATCAGAATGAACCCATACAATATATTTTTTTATTTTTTTAAAATAAAATTTTATTGTTCATATTATTACAAATGTCCCTCCCCCCCCCCATTGCTCTCCTCCACCAGGTTCCCATCCCACCCTCTGCCCTTTCCCCACCCCCCATTGTCCTCATCCATAGGTGCACAGTTTATGTTCAGTCTCTTCCCACATCCCCCTCTCACCTTTTCCCCAAGAATCATCAGTTCACTCCCCTTCCATACCTCTGATTCTATTATATTCAACAGTTAATATTGTTCATCAGATTTTTTTAAAAATTTTCTAGGTTTTTAGATTCACTTGTTGATAGTTACATATTTGTTGTTCATAATTTTTATCTTTATTTACTTTCTCTTCCAAAAGAACCCCCTTCAGTAATTCATATAATTCTGGTTTGGTGGTGATTAACTCCTTTAGCTTTTTTTTTTTTTAATTAGTGAAGCTCTTTATCTGGCCTTCGATTCTGAGTGATAGCTTTGCTGGGTAGATTATATTTGGCTGTAGGTTCTTACTATTCATCACCTTCAATATTTCTTGCCATTCCCGTCTGGCCTGCATGGTTTCAGTTGAGAAATCAGCTGACAATCGTATAGTTGCTCCTTTATAGGTAACTACCTGCTTTGCTCTTGCTGCTTTTAATATTCTCTCTTTGTCTTTTGCTCTTGGAATTTTAATTATGATTTGTCTTGGTGTGGTCCTCTTTGGGTTCCTTTTGCTTGGAGTTCTGTGCGCTTCCTGGACTTGTAAGTCTAATTCTTTCACCAGGTGGGGGAAGTTTTCTGTCACTATTTCTTTCAGTATGTTTTTGATATCTTGCTCTCTCTCATCTTCTCATCATTCTGATGTTGGTTCCCTTGAAGTTGTCCCAGAGGTTTCTTACATTATCTTCAATTTCTGGATTCTCTTGTCTTCTTGCTTTTGCGAAGGAGTGTCTTCTGGCTCTTTATGCTCTAAATCTTTGACTTGATTCTTGTGATCTTCCATTCTGTTTTTAGGACTCTATATATTTTTTATTTCAGACAATGTATTCTTCATTTCTTGTTGATCCCTTAACATTTCTTGTTGATTCCTTATTAATTCTAGTTGATCCGTTTTCATATCCTCATAAGTCTTATCGACCTTTTCTAGGAAATTCTTGAAAAACCTTATAAGCGTAGATTTGAACTCTATATCCAGTTGTTTTTTGTCCTCAATTTCTTTTGTTTGTGATCTATTTCGTAGTCACATTTTCGCAGCTTCCCTGATGGGGTGGAGTTTCAGGGTGGAGCCTACAGCCTTGGCTTCTATTAGCCCCACCCTATGCCCCTCGTGAGTCTCAGGGTCCTTCAGTACTCACTGCAAGCACCTCTGAGAGAAAGGTGCCCTTGATTTTCGCCTGCTACCAAACAGTTTAGTCTCTCCCCATATGAGCCCAGAACTGGGGTTCAGTTCAGTTGGAAGTGGAGTTGGAGGTGGCATTCAGAGCAGTCCAGAGCTTTTGTCTCCTTCCCGCCAGGGCAATCCCGCGGCACAGCCAACCATCCCTTCTCTGCAAGCAATGTGCGCGCCTCCGGGACCTCCTTTCGCCGCTCCCCCGGGGTTCCGCCTTACAGCCCAGCTCCCTATGGATGAGCCTGGGTCCCCAGGGTCTGGCCTAGAACTGGGGTTCAGAGTAGTCGGAACTGGGGCCCAGCACAGTCAGAGCTTTTATCTCCTTCCTGCTAGGGAATGCCAGCCAGGCAATCAGCCACCCCTTCTCTCCGGCTCCGTTCTCTTGGTGCCCGAGGCGTGTCTCCATACCTTAGGCTTTTACAGCTCCTCTGCACTTCCTTCTGGTTTTCTCCTTGCTTCTCGTTGTAGAATTTCCAGTCAGTCGACTTTCCTGTAGTTCTGGGTAATGTCCATTTTATATTTTAGTTGTATTTTATTGAAATTGTTGTGTGCGGCTGCAGCTAGGTCTTTACCTGTTCAGCCATCTTGGATTCTCTCCCCATACAATATTTAATTAATGTGCAGATTCCTGGACCGTATCCCAGATCTACTGAATCAAAATTTCAGAGGTTGGGCCTGGAAATCCACATTTTAAATAAGTTCCCAAATATTCATTTTATACACTCAAATTTGAGAATCTCTGCCAGGAAACTGAATCCCAGAAAATGGATTTGCCTCATTTTGTAAACTTCCAGCATGGATCTTGATTATACAGATTATTTGACAATCCATTTAATATAAACTCAAAATCCACCTCCAACTATAAGAAAACAAGTAGAGCATTTTGTTGATTACTTTTGTGCAAATATGCATTTTCTGAAATAAGCAGACTGATATTTTATGGAAAATACTGAAAAAAATTATCAAAATAATTATTAAGGAAAATAAAGATCAATTCTGGGACCTATAATGGTTAATATCTATTATATTCCAGACTGTGGATACAGTGATGGCTAGACAGTATAGGTCCCTATCCTTATTTTTATTTTATTTATGTATTGAAATTATTTATATATGTATATACATAAACAAAGAAGTAAGGTAATTTCAGAGAGTGGCAATAAGACAGGTTGATGTGATAAAGTCTGTAAGGGAGAGAGGCAAAGGGGGTGGTTGGCTGTATTAGATATAAGGATAAAAAGTGGTTTCATTGAGGACGTAACTTTTCAAGCTGAGAAGTACCCAGACCTAAGAGGGTCGGGGGAAAGTGTTCTAGGCAGAGGGAACTGTAACTATAAAGACTCTAAGGGGAGAACAAGGTTCTCTTCAAATTATTATAGGAATTAAATAAAAAGTCAAATAATACATATGAAATGTTTTATGAAGTAGGAAACTATGTAAAAGTATAAAGCATTATTTTTACTAATATATTAGAATAGTTTCAGGACAGAAGCCAAGATAACAAAGGGCATCAGGTCTGTGGCATATGAAGAATTAATTAGGCAATTGAGGTTACATTGTCTGGGAAGCAAAGAGACACAAGTATGTGTTTGGAGGAAGTAGGGAGAAGTCTTCAAATACCCGAGGGAGTCTGTTCTTGTGGAAGAGGACTTAATTTTTTTTTTTTAATAGTTTTGAGGGTATGGTAAAAATTTTTGGAAGCCAAAATCTTAATCCAATATGATAATGAACATTCAAAAAGAGTTACAGGAAAATGGACCAACTGTGAGATAGTGAGCTCCACATGACGGGAGGTGATCAAGGATGGGTTGAATAGACAGCTGACATTGTAATGATTGGACTAGGTGATCTAAGAGGACCTTTGTAATCCTTTGAAAACACACACATGCGCACACACATACACACATACACACATACACACACAGTGCTCTCTCTCACAAACACAATAACCACCAAGATGGCCTCTTTACTTCATCCTTTAGAACCTTAAAGAAATTTCAAGAGAAACATGAGCTATACTGAGATATATCAACTTCCTAATTCATACTGACACCCAGGACTAAAGGGCAAATTAAGATATGGGATAGATAACATTCATTTTTAAAATCTGTAGCTATGATTCAATGGTGTTTTAATAACAAACACTTAATCATTATTTCAAATTATCAAAATAATTACTGTTTTAACAAAAATATGTTGGGATTTCATTAGTTCCCAATAGGTAGTATCCCAATAAACAGTCAAAATATTGAACAAATAGATAGGTATCCTTTCATTGGCAGGTTTCTTAAAGGGAGCCATAAGCCCAAGATGATGGTTTCCTCATAAAAACTCCTGAGGAAGAAGAATCACTATTGTTTATAATTGTGTATTCTATCCTATAAATAAAGTAAAAAATAAAATAAAATAAAAAGACACTGAGTTGCCACTTGACCACCTGGAGCCAAAATGCTAAAGATAAACAAATCTAGTCTTCCACAAACGGATAGAACAAGGTAGATTTGAAAGTAAGAGGAGAAGCTACTTTGAAAAGCTAATCATTACTAAATGACCTTTACATAAAATACTTATATTTCCACATCCTGGTGTATGTGGCTTACATACAGACTTACCTCAGGAAATACTCTTTTAATATCTACATACACTTTTTGTTTCTTAAAAACTAGTTGTAAATTAAGTTAAATTATTACCCTCTGAGAATAGCTTATAATGAATCTTTCTATAAAATAAAGACTGTGTCCATATAATTGTTTGTAAAATTATACCTTAATATGTGAAATCCAGGGACACCACAAGCAAAATTACAAAAAAATTAAAATCAAAGATTTAACACCTAATATAAAGGAAATATTTATCATAGAGCTATTTTTGTATAGGAATCTCTTCCTAAGACTATACAATTGCTATTTATGCCAGCAATATTTTAGAAATATACCTAGTCCATAAAAGTTAAATATAACCAATAATGTAAACAATCACTTCTTAAAAGTTATTTTTCTTTAGGTTCACACACAAGTTCAAATTCTGCTACTTTATTAAGTTTTAATCCCTTAGAACTCAAGGTAACAGCAGAACTGGATTAGTGGCTCAGGAAACCCAAGTGTCTCTCTGTTCATGAGCGAGTGCCACCTACTATCATCTGGGTTGTCTAAGAACTGAATCCTTAACTGGGTAGGGAGTTATTTCTAACTACATTCTCACTTGACCAATGCACAGAAAAGCTGTGATGCCACAAAACAATACCTAGGGTTAGAGAAGGAGACCAAGTCTCCTGTCGCAATGTCCAATGGGTTCACCATAACCATTCTTGGCAGTCTCAGCTTGAGAGGTGCCCAAGTTTTGTATCAACCACTAAGAGAATGGCACCCATTAGAATAATAATGTTAACAATATGATTGGTAAAAACCTTTCTTCACTAAAAAGATCTGAGACATCTTGCCATTTGTTTCAGTACAAGATATTAGGGATAATTCTGGGTTTTCTAAACCTTCTCACCCCAAATTAAACTTCTTTGTCATCTTCTCTTGCAAGAGTGTACAGTCTACCCCTTGGATTTGGGGATCATCCTACAAATGTGTACTCTATAGGTGGAAAGCACAATAAAATGGAATCGTTCTAAGAAATGGCACCATGAAACCAACAGCATGCTACAGAGTTGCTCCTCCATCCTGATAGCAAATTAGAAGTAATTTTCTGCCTAAATCAGAGCTTAATTCTTTAGTTCACTTTAATTCACAAGTTCAATCCAATTTCCCAAAATGCAATAATACAATCTTCCAACCTCATTATCATCATTGAAAGTATTTAAAAGCATTTGCTGAGACACATTTCTTTCTTGTGTCAGGCAGGATCAACGTCAAATGAACATCTTGGATACACTACATTCTGTCTCACTGTGGAGGGTTGACATTTTAAGAAATAATGGTTTCTTGCAAGAGAAAATTTTTCCTTGGAGTGAACACCAAAGGGTACTACATCCAGTAAATATAGGTTGAAATATGATTCTGGTTTTAAAAACCAGATCTCAAAATTACTATATAAGTACATACATACATGTATATACTTGACATACATACATGTATATACTTGACATTCTCTATGATTAGAAATCTTATTATCCTGATGACTTTCTACAATAATTTGAATCAGCTAAGTGTACTTTAGGCCTCATAGAAGAATTTTTAAAAATAAAACAAAAGATAATTAGTAATGGAAATGCCATCCCATATCACTACCACTCAGGAAAATGATGGGATATTTCCCTAGAAACAATCATAAGGAAACAGTTGGTTTATTTTGAAGGCAGTTATTTCAATAGCATATTCACTAAAACCCCCTGAGTTTTAGTCTAAAAACAGATCATTTCCATTTCCTTTTGATAATCAGAAAGGGAATCAACCCACATTTTAAACAACCATTTTTTGAGATCACTTACTGGGGAACAGTAAAATGCTTTTAAAAGCATTTTGGGGGAGACATTTTAAGCAGAAATTAGTAAAAGGGCAAGAAGGACTTCTTATTCCTCAGCTCAACCTCAACTCAACCTTAACTTTTAATTATTTCATATCTTATAAAAAGTCATTGCTGCATTCGGCCTTTGCTTTGTGAGGTAGCCAGTTTTCTCCTAACACTGTTCACCAAACTCATTTAACTCATGCCCTAAGCCAATAACAAATCTACTCTTCCAGCTGTGATACTTTAATAGCTTAAATTTCTAAAGTAAATGGCATCCTTTGCTCCTTTAAAAACCAGTCTGGCAATGATTAAAGTAAAGGAAACTAACCACCTGAAGAACTTCAAATATGCAGACATGTGTCAGATATAAACACTGTAATACATAATGACTGGAAAGGCCCGAATCCCAGAATCCAGTTTAGGCAATGGGACTACACGTATATTTAAAATGGTGGAGAGTCAACTTACAAGTACAGTATATTATTTCATTTCCAATCTGTTATAAGGCATATATGAGCAAGAATAGATAGCACTGCAACTCAGCATTCATGAACCCAAACACATAAGCCATGTTCAAACTCAACTGAACTTACCTTATACACTTGCCCATATGTTCCATTTCCAACAAGTTCCACCAATTCAAAGATCCCTGCAGGATCCTGAAAGAAAATAAACAAACCATAAAAATTCAAACAATATTCCAGGCATTGTCTTAATTAAAAGCAAATAGTTATTTGACATACACAAATAAATAACAACTTTAGCTTTGGGGCTATGATGTGTTAATATTGAATACTATTAAACTTTAATTCCGTTGCACCTATGAAATTAGTCAAAACCCATTTTGTTTCTATTTTATATTTCTATGAGATGTGTTAAAATCAGATAAAAAGAGACATGACTGCCACTGAAACAATTAAACAACAACAACTTACATTTCTCACTGCAAATGGAAATATACTTGCTGATACATCAAGACAAAATTTACAATAGGCAAGATCTGGAAATAGCCCAAGTGCCCATCCGTAGATGAGTGGATAAAAATAGCTGTGGTACATTTATACCATGGAATACTATGCAGCAATAAAAAAAGAAGGGATCTCTTACCCTTTGAGACAGCATGGAGAGACCTGGAGAGTATTATGCTAAGCAAAATAAACTATTATAGTCAGAGAAAGACAAGTATCACATGATCTCATTCATATGTGTAATCTAATGAACAAGATAAACTGATGAGCAAAATAGATCCAGAGGCATAGAAGCATGTGGAACCTCAGAGGAAAGGTGGGGGAGGGTAGGTAGGTGGGCAGAGATCAAAGAACTTGCATGCATATATGCATAACCCATGGACACAGACAAGAGGGTGATGAAGGCCTTGGATGGGCAATGGGGGCAGGGGTCAATGGGGGGGAAAAGGGATGTATGTAACACTTTCAATAATAAAGATATAATTTAAAGATAAAATGAGAGACCCATCATCTTGGGGTTCTAATTTTTGATATCTTCCTCTTTGAAAATTCTGCACTGCTTGTTGTGTTGAACACTGGCAGTCAAGAAAGTGGTACTCTTCTTACCTAGGTGGTCACCATGGAAGCAACACCCCTGCCCCCCTCAGTGGTGTTGGATTCATCTCCCCTCTCTATGATACCACCTCTGCAAAATACCCTTTTGCAGGTGGCTTCCAGCTCCTGCAGTACCTGAGGAATACCTGTAGGCGTTAGAATGCAAACTAAATAGGAGAATTATGCAGATTCTTACCACTAAATGTGTCTGCCTAACCTCAGTGTCAGCTGAATGTTAGGATGCTCAACAAATGTTGAACAACTGAAGCTATTCTTACTGAATCACTATCCCAAAAAATTGAAAAGAAAAATCAAAGGCTGTAAAATTCAACTCAGGGGCAGAAACTGACGTTGACCTCTACCGATTCCTAACTGGACAGAGATTGTTCCTGGAAAAGCCTATCTCAAGAATGACAAACTCACACATCCACAGGGGCCAAGAAAATGGCCTAAGTGTGAAGCAGGGTAGCTGAGGCATATGGCAGACCAAAGTCAGGTCTCCTTTGGGGGGGGTTGGAGGGGGTAAAATTTTATGTCGCTGGAACAATTATACCGTAAACCTATGAACACAGTATTGCCAGGTCTAAAGATTTTTTTTAAAGAAAAACAGAACAATTTGTTTAATCTGAGATTGCCTCTTTTTTTTTTTATTGATCTTTATTGTTCAGCGTATTATGTATGTCCCCGCATTGCTCCACTCCACCCAATTCCCACCCTACCCCAGACCTTCACCTAATCTTTAAATGTTAGGCAACAACTCACTTAAAACACACACACACACACACACACACACACACACACAAAAAAAAAAAAAAAAAAAAAAAAAAAAAAAGAGGGGGAAAAAAAACAACAACTCTGAACGACAAATAAAAGACTACCACCTCTGGCCTAAAACCATGACTATAGCTAGTCAACACTCACAAATTATGAGAATGCTGCCACATATTATTGCAGTCTCTGAGACAGAATGGGGAAGCCTATGCTGGGGTTGCAGACAGATCTGGGTTGAACACCAGCTTTGCCGCACCTGGCTATGACCCTAGGACGCCCTGGAGAGCAATCTAGTCTGTGAGCAGATAAAACGGGATGGCCTCTACCTAGCAGAGCTCCAGTAAAGAACAAGTGAGGGTCCAGCACCATGCCTTGACCATAGTCAGCCATCAATTAATATCAAATAATAACATTTATGATGAGGAATTTCACACCATTAGTAGCACAGAAATGAAGAGGGGCTGCTTCGGGCTGCTACTCGTGAGGAAGGAAACAAATGAGTTGGATGTGACATATTACAATTCTTCTTTAAAGTTACAGTTTTTAGAAAAATCAGGCCCAAGAAAAGCCCTTTGCAATGTGCCTTCAAAGAGTCCACATAGAAAATAAATGCAAAACAAGTAAAATGAAAAACCCAACAGTTGAAGCAGTTAGTCACTGAGAAAATAGGAATTAGCGCTATCCATTATAATAAAGCCAGAAGGGCAAGAAACCACAATTGCAGACTTGTGTACCGACAGATCAAACCGTCCAGAAGTTCCAGCTAAACCCCATCTGGTCAGGGAGGTGTGGACACCTTTCCAGATGGAACCAGGGAACAGGAGAACACCGTATGGGCCGAAAGTTCTGTCTACCGAGCCCGCATCACTAAAAGACATGATCAGGGCCACCTGTAAGGCCTCAGGATAGGAAAGAAAAATTATTCAACTACTAGGCAGCAGGTTTTATTGAAAATGAATTAGAAACAAATGAGAAAAAGGGAAAAAGAAACCCACAAATGGTGGCAGCTGCTGTTTGTTTCTAAGCTGTGCTTCCCGTAGTTTGTTTGCTCAGTGCTGTTTCTGCAACAAATTTCAAGGGGGATTCTACATTTGCTTGAAATATCTCAATTGTGTTTTCAACATTCATTTTTCACACACACACACACACACACACAAAGAAGAAGAAAAAAAGAACGAGAGTGGGGGGGGGGGCAATGCAGGACGATGGCTACTAGCTGCCTTAAGGAGTGTGGGAAGAGTAAGAGGGGTGGAGAGCAAAGGGTGGGAAGAGAAACAGGGTGCAGAGCTGGGACCAGCTTCTACACCCAAGGGTTATCCCACCTCATGGATCCCTCCTCAGGGCTGGGTTTAATGGTTAGGTCTCTGGAGGAGCTGAGCAGCTAACTTCTAGGCTCTTTCCTTCCTTGAGTAGGCCATACTGAGCATACGGCCCAACCAATCGGAGCCAAGGAGGCTCAATGCTGAACTTGGGAAGAGGTTTCCTCCACTGGACATGTCCAAGGGGATCAGAAGCAAAGGTCAGAGGGACTGCAGACTTTGATTGGTGTCCCCTCTTGGGTAAGCAACCAAACTGAAAACAATCATCGACTTAGGTTGGTTCCCTAGGAGATAGACTCTGAAAATCTCTGAGATTTACCCAGAGGGAGTCTGTTGGTGTATGTGCAGTGGGGGAGTGAAGGGAGAAGAACTTGACTAAGCAGACAGAAGGGTTCAGCAGGATTCACAAGAGCTATGAATCTGGGATGACTCTTCAAAACTATCCTACCTTGAGGAAGGGGAGCCTTTGTACTCCACCTCCATTGACTCATCATTGTAGGCTGTCCTCCATCCCCCTCCCAGAGGTTATAATATTGGGGAAAGCAACATGCTTCAGCTGAGGACAATTCCCAGGTGAGAACCATCCCTACCTGCCTATGCTCCCAGCAGGTGGACAACGAGGGCCTCAGCTGTGGAGAGGGCATCTGGGTGACATACGGCAGCATCCACTACAAGCCTCGTAGCTAGAAATAAGTAACTATTTGGAACTAGAATGAACTAGAAAGAATCTATAAGCACCTATGTTTACAATATGCTGACAATAATAAGGCAAAATGGCACAATACACAGAGTCATGGTATTTGCAAGAAAGGGCTCTCAGAGACCCTAGGAAGCAGAAGGCAGAGATGTTGTTCAGGACACTTGAACTTAGCACTGACCATGAGCTTCCTTCTCCTCTACCACCAATTTAAGTATCAGGAAAGCTGGAATATTCTCTTCCACAAATGCATGTAATTTTTAGTTATGTTCTTAAGGAATAGTGATAGAACTTAAACATGGTAAGCATTCAGCTGTTTTTTTGGGTTTTTTTTTCTCACTCTTATAGGATTCTAAATGTACACTGGACTCTTGAACAAAAAGGTTGGAACTGTATGGGTCCACTTACATGCATATTTTTTTCAATAAATACTATAAATGTATTTTCTCTTCTTTATGATTTTCTTATCATTTTATTTTCTCTAGCTTACTTTATTTACTGTAATAATATGCTATATTGTACATATAACACACAGAATACATGTTAATCAATTGTGTATGATATTACTAAGGCTTCCAGTCAAAATAGTTAAGTTTTATTGTGGGGAGTCAAAAGATATACGTGGATATTCACCCTCATGGGGGATCAGTGTCCCAAGCCCTCGTGTTGTTCAAGACTCATCTGTAATTTCTCCCTGCAATCCCCTATTTTTAGTGTGTGTGGTTTGTTTGTTTTTAATCAGTCCTGTCCTAGTTGTCCTTTTTGTGGCATTTATGTTGCTGAGTACCACACTCTTGTTGAAAACATATCCCCTCCTTTGTCTTCCAATACACCACTCAGTCTCTCTCAAGGATTCTGTTTCTTCTGTCTATACCTTAAAGGAAGGTTGTTCATGTGCTAATGACTTTAATCTCCAAACTAGAGGCCCAGTGCACAGGATTCATGCACTGCTGGGGGGCATGGCCTGTGGGGATCGGTCCACTGTGGGAGCGCAGCTCATCCCAGTCTGCCAGACAGCTGTGGACCCGCCCTCTGAGTGGCTGCTCCCTGGTCTGGCATCTTGTGTGGATCTGGAGCACTCGCCTGTCCAGGGGACCCAATTGTGGCCAAGCCCAGAGACAACAGCACTGAGAGGTGGTGGAGTAGGCCTCAATCCTGCAATGGCCAACCTCCAGGGTCAGCTCTGTGAGACTGGTGGCGGCACTATGTGGCCTGTGAGCATCCGGAGGAGGTGGCAAGGAGTGAGGAGGAAGAGCCTGGGGTGAGGAGGTGAAGATGGCAGCCTGGGTTCCTGCTTGTTAGCCAGGGGT